CTGAAAATAAGTTTCAATGTACTCCTCACTAGTTCACGTTAGTGCAATAAAAAGTAAAATTTAGGAAGAATTCATCATCACTCAGAAACATTCACAATTATTTTACAAGTTTCTTTATGTATTAAGAACTCTACATTATGTAAAAACTTACACTTAACAGCTGTCAGGTAGCAGAACATAAATTTCAACAGATTAATATATCATAAAAACAAATTTGAAATATTGACATTGAAAAAAACAGGAACTTCAATGAATAGGGTCGTCTTAGAAGTAAAGATTTTATTTATTCATTTATTTATTTTATTTTATGCAATTTGTACCTGCGCAGCTGCGCATCTAGCAAATTTGTTGTATTTTTATTTTCTTGGTGTAATTGCTTGATTTTTTTTTTTTTTTATGTTGATGTTTTTATTCATGTAGTAGACCTCTGGGAGATTTTCTTCTTAATCTTCGTAGCTCAGGTAACAGGGAGCAGGAGATATAAAGAACCAGAGGATTGGAGTGATTTTGGGTTGAAGAATGAAATGTAGTGTATTTGTCGTGGATGTAGGATTTTACTGTTGGGGTGTTTAAGTCGTTATGTATAGTAGTGTTTGAAATTTACCAAGGTGCGTTAACAATTTTTCGTAAAATTTTTGATTGTGCTGTTTGTATTGTGTTTATGTGTGTTTGTTTTGCTGAACCCCAACAAAGAAGTAAAGATAGTTATGATTAGAAAAATAGGTTGGAGATTGTTTGACTAAAAATATAAGATGAAAATCCGATACAGAACAATTGTTTCACTATTTATCAACTTTCCATTAAAACAGAACGAGTTGTTTTTTTAATCATATGTATATCTATAGGCACCAAGTAGGTACTAACCCGCACAACCCGTAAAATTTTTATTGTAATCGGTTTAACTGTAGTATATGTTATGCCTGTGGATTTAACTATAGACGGATTTATGTGAATGAAATTTTTTTCTTGATTTCTCTGTCAAACGCGAATGGAAAGTTTCTAATCTTAGAAGAGATTTTTTTTTAATTTTCCCATGAATGCAAAGGCTCCTTTGAAAGTAAGGAAGCAAAAAACATAATGTAGACTGTAGAAATGACTGCACCTTGCATGACTCACAACATCTAACTTCTTGAAGTTGACTACTGCCATGGTCTTTTACCTTCTCATGCCTAACTTCCCATTATTCAGAGAGATAAGTAACACTTACGACCCATTGTCAAAATTTAATTTTTGTATGGGTGTAGAAATATACTTACGTAATTATATGAATTATATCTGTTAGTACTATTAATTTTGATGCTGTTTTTCAAAGCACTAATGATTGTCAGTTCCACTCTCTATTTTTACTTACACGTCTGATCTCCAGCGATAAATACACACTCCGTCTTGATGATGAGTGTTAATGAAATTATGCCAACAAAGTAATTACAATAAATTAGTTATAACTAATAAACTCTAAATAAAAACAATTATGAAAATAATTGCATAAGAGCAATATTAATGTTGTTTTAAAATGTTTTCATGCAGGATTAGTCTTGGTATCTCAGGTTTTAGGATTAAATATTAAAGTGATTGAGAACGCAACTTGATCTTCCATTCATCGTGCCCTATCTTTTTGGAATAACTATCGTAAGCACTTCGCTATCTCAATCGATGTTTCTTTCTAGTCCATCGTTGGATGTTACTATTTTATTTCCTTCTTCGATATTCTGCTTCGCAATATTAGCTGTCTAATTATCAGTCTTAATTAATTTCAATGTTTGCCTACTCGCACTTCGTAGATAAAAAAAAAAACCTTTCGGAATAAATCAGAAGACGGAATATAAGTTAGGGAATGGGGGAGATGTAAATTGCTAAGTAGAACATCCCACGTAGCTTCCAAGGACCACTTTCGACCCTCCATCATTTAATTTATCTATTTCTTATTCAATTTCGTCATTTGTGAATTATGTTCTGTAATTCGCTTATTCTCTCCTCTTGGAGTTGTTAAAAAGGTGTCTGTGTAGAAGATATTTTATACGTTACAAGTTATTTAGCGCCTACTTCTTGTACTCTTAATGAATTCATGTTTACTTATGTAGTTTATTTTGTACTCTGCATTTGGTATGTTGGTTTATTTATTCTCTCTCAATTGGTAATACAACTCATTAAATGGGTCGCGGCATCCTTGGGCATATTTTGCCCTCTGATCCTTTGTGTAAGTTTAATTCAACTGAGTATTTATTTTTGTTTTCATAAAATTTACAATTGTATTAAAACAAAACAGAGCAGTTTAATCACATGAAAGGTCATAATGGAAGCTCTCCATTCCTCTCTTATATGTTAACAATATAAAATGTTCCACTTTAGAAAGCCTCGAGGCCATCTTATTTTCATTCGCCTCCAAGGTTAATCAGGGATTGAAGAGGAAGAAGTTGATTCGGATAGTTCTGAAGTTTATTATGGAAGGAAAATATCTGTTGACTTTAACTAGGAAGAAAACGGGATAAAAGAAAAGGTGAAAAAAATTAAACTTGTCCACCTGGATAAAAATCTTCTTAAGTGCCATGATCTGGGTTCGATTATCACTTGGATCGGTCAATATTTATTTCTAGGCGGACCCGCGAAATGAGTCTTGGCACTCTGCTAAGTACGCGGCGGCAACCTTAAGGTAAGCGTACTTATAGCGTCAAGCATTCGTTATAAGTACCAAAACTCCCACTTCGCGAACTAGTTTCTTTCTGCTGTAGTACCTGAACAAAAATTAACCTGAACATTTAGCTGACGAACTCGAAATTAACACCTTAATTACATTAAATAAATTATTATAGACGAATATCTCTAACATTGTTTAGTAAAAATTAATAATAAGTACTTTAATATTTACGAACTTGAAATATTTATAAACTCATTGCAAAATGAGTTGCATACTGTTACCAACATTGTTTGGGGGAGGGGGGAGCGTTTTTATAATATAAGCATGCCAAGGAAAATAAGTTAGCGCATGCGTAAGAGACATGACAATTAATTTCTATTTCAAATAATGTCGTTCGATGCTGCTTCTAAACTATTGGTGAAGTTGTTTAATCATCCAATTTAATCTGGCAATGCTGGGCTATTATAAATTTTTTTGAAGTGCATTTTAAACGGAGCTAAAGCTTATAGTTTACAGATAACAAGTCATTAAGACCATTATAATTACAAAATATTTATTTAATATATCGACGGCAGGCAATAAAAATCTAGTCACTCCATCTGATTTTATAAACCACACAACTTCCTTTGCTTTATAAACTTCAGAATGACTAACTCCAATTTCAGCATTTTTGAGTGATGTCATTTTAGTGATATTTTTAGTTGAAAAAGTTTTCTATGCAGAATATGAGTAAGTTGATTCCGGAGGTGATGATTGCAGTGTTGAAATATAGAACTGAGAATAAAGGTATAAAATTAGGTACTTATTTCTTATGAAAAACGTTCTTAGGAAAGATACTTTATTAAATATCTATAGAAAAAAAATTTTGTTTAGTCTCAACAATGAAGAAAGTATATTTTAAATTTATCCAAATTTTTGCCTCTTCAGGGAAAATTTAGTATTGGATTAGGATACAACATTTTTAGATGTATAACAATTGAGACATAATGAAATTCCTTATACATTTAATGTATTTGTTTCACAATTCATTTACAATTCAATTAAAAAATAAGACTCACTATAAAAATATATTGTTTTAAATCGCCATTTTTAATTTTTAAAATAACGTTCTCGTATGATTGAAAAAAATGTTTACTTTTTTAGTTTATTATTTTCAATAATGAGCCATTGTGATCGAACAAAACATTCAAAAACTTAACCCTCTCTCAACATTTGAGGTTTTACGTTTCAGGATACGTAGAATTCCAAAAACGAATAACAATTGTTTTGTGCGTCAGCCCTCCGCCGTCCGCGCATTTTTTCCGAAACTACTTAAACGATTTTTTTTCAAATTTGGATTTAAAATTAGATGTCACCCGAGGAGGATCCTCCTTCGTCCACATTTCTACCCGCCTTTTCTTTTCAAGATGGCGACTGAAAAACCTGCGTTGCTATAGACTGTAGCGCCTAAACGAATACACCGATTTTAATGAAACTTCGCTAAAGTCTTTCCAATGCCCTTAAAATTTATCTCTATAACAAACTTCAACGAAAAGAAGCTGAAAAAAAAAAAAAAAATCGTTAAAATCGGACAATAAGGAGCAGAGATATGGTCTCCAGATGTTTTTTTGTATATTCTACTGGTAAGGTTATATCCTGTGTTTTAGTTTTTGATTTGTAAATTTGTTACTGAAGTAATGCTAATTTTTTTAATATATTACTAATGATTACAAAAAAAATGTTTAGTCCAATAATTGGAATCACCTTATATTTCTTTTTCTTTGTCTCTAGGTAGGTTATGTTATTTTTGATGTATAATTGTTTTGAAATAATAAACATTTGTGATATAATTTGCAGCGCTTTTAATTTATCATTAAATTTTAAAAACTCATTGCTACAAGTTCAAACGATTTTGATACACCTATAACACAGTATAAAGAAACTTTTTTTTTTTTAATTACCTTCCTATTAGAATTAAATTGAATGTAATTGTTCTTGCCAAGATGAGAGGCAAATGCATTCAACAATGTAGTTTTTTTTTTTATTTCCGATTTATTAAGATTAGAGAATATATGGTGAAATTTCAGGATAAATATGTTCCCAATAAAAAAGTAACAAAAAATACATGCAATGTGACCGCAAAAGCTGGACAGCCCCAGCACGACATATTTACTGTTAATTAAGAGATCAAAAACATCCCAATTAGTGTGACAAGGGCCGTAAAATATTCATTAATTAGCAGACCGACTCGAACTCATGGGCCGTATGGTATCTGCTCACCGTGTTCCAATGGAGGTTAATTAGCCCTGATATTTGATAAATGGGAGAAACAAACTGTCCAATATGGTCATCATCACTCGTTCTCTGGCTTCTCTTGGTTATGTCTATGTTTAGCCACCATTGGGGAGGTATCTATAGACACATGTATTTGACCTCTTACAAGAAAAAATTGAAGAAATTAATCGTTGGTATTATATTGCCGAGTAGAAATCATGTTCACTTTTTTTGGAAAGATTTTGTGAATATGTTATAGTGTAGTATAGTTATTTAGAACTCATATAATAATGAGATCAGAAGATACAATTCAGTTTTACATCTCCATATATACCTTATACATTCTAATTTCAACTTATTCAACTAATCGATGGTCAGAGGATTAAAGATTTTTTTCTTTAACTTACCTATAAGTGATATAGAGCGCATTTTAATTTTAAAAAAAAAATTAAATCTGAAATAAAAAATATACACTTACAGTGTCTTTAAGTCTCAGAATGACTACGTTTTTTCGAACAATAAATATTTCAATTAACGTCGACATATTTACGTTTAAAACTCACACATATCTCTGGCACAGCGATTATTTTTTTTATTTTATTTTTTTAACATTTTTTTATATTTAACAAGCATTTTGAATAAATATTTTTAAGGAAAAAGATTCGGAATATTCGTGTGGGAGAAAGTAAGTCGGCAAAAGTATTCCGTAGGTTCTGATCAGGTCCCCTGGTCTTTACCTTTCCTGACGGCGCCCGTATTAGGAGCTGGATGGAGTGAGGACGAAAGAATGTCGCGATGAAGGCAGCCACTCAAAAAAAAATCTCGAGTCATTATATGTTCCGCAAAACTCGGGCCAATAAACGAGAAACAGTTTGTACTTTCTTAATTTCTTTCGTTGATATTTACACAATTGCTGTTATTAGGGACCACATGGTTCATAAGCTCAGAATTCGACGATTTATTAAATAGAGTTATGTAGGTAGGGATCACGATTCACTTAAATAGAGCTCTAATACTCTTGAAAAAGTGGCCTGGGGCGGAGTCCGTAGGAAAAAAATGTAGGGAGAGAAGGGTTCAAGATCACACATGCCAAGTTGACACCCTTAATTAAGCTGCCATTTTTTTTTTTTTTTTTTCTCCAAAGCAATGCCCATTAAATCAGGGAAAAGCATCATTGATCTTTGAATGAAAACATGTGCTATATATTTATTATTCATTTGCTACTGCAACGTCGTATTCATGAAATAATTTTATCCGAATTGCAGATTAAAGTGCTACATTTATTAAACATATAATTTATAAGTGTGGTGTTATGTTTTCTAAAAATGTCTTTGATTTTTTAAAATAAAACAAGGAGATAATAGTTGCTATCTTCTGCTTCAATGTATATATATATATATATATATATATATATATATATATATATATATATATATATATATATATATATATATATATATATTAAATTTCCAGAATTAGTTTTTATGGACTTCCTGGAAGTTTATATATATATATATATTAAATTTCCAGAATTAGTTTTTATGGACTTCCCTGAAGTTTATAGGAAACCAACGATATAGTTGTAGCGTGTAATACATAAATATATCCCTTCCAATAAGCATGTTAAAGCGATCATTTGCCTGGTCACTATCCTTGAGCAGTTGAATAATACAGTTTAGAAATCGTAGAAAGGGTGCGCTGTGTGGTAGGCGTTGATGTCGCAATTGGCTCCAGTGACGGAACAGATTATATTTAATTTACAACAGCGCTGCTCTCCTCTCGGTTATCCTCCATCTTCGGCCCGATCTTATCTTTTCCCGCCCAAGATCATCCGAGGAGTCTCAATTATTAGTTCCTGATGTCTCTCTCCGATCGTGCTCTAGCGGCCAGCTGGCAGATGTACCATGCCTGCAGAGTAATGAATGAGTCATGAAGTGGACTACTAGTCATGTTTATAATGCTCTTTCTTTTCCTACTTATTGCCAAATCTTTAATTATCTGGTACTATTTACCTTGGTATATATTTATCTTTTGTATTAAGATATACTGTTTCAAGTCTTGCTTTTGTAGGTGTTCCCGAAAAAAAAAAATGTTAAATCGCTAGGTTCCTCTCTCTGAGCTAAAGTGTCAGGTCCTCTTGTTATGAAGTATTTTAATTTCCACTTGATAATCCTAGCAAATTTCATCCCACCAGCAAAAACCTTGGAAAATCCATGTATCCAAAATCTCCCGCATTTCTACCTTAAAACTTCTAAATTACTGCAGTCGCCCTTTTCCAATTGAAACAGAAAGACTTCTGGTCACTTACTTAATATTCCTCACTTTGACTATTGTCGTACAGTATATAGAGCGTCTTGGGGAATCTCGAGGCGAAATTAAAACCTTTAATAAATTGCATTATACGATTCATCTTCGGAATCCCAATGTACACCTCAGTTTCCCGTCTTTATAAAGAGTTGAAGTGACTTTATGCTTCCTACCGTCGTAAGTACTTCCATCCATCCTTCCTCTTCTAAGTCATCTAATCCCGCTGTCCTTCATTCATCTATGAGCTCCTTATATTCAAATCCTCTGTTCACTCTCCCAATACCTGTTCCCAGTCATCAGATTTATATACGATAGCCCACCGAACCGCTGCTTTCGACAGATCGTTCATTGTTCGATCCTCATCCCTGTGGAATTCCATCTCTTCCTACTCCAAAACTCTTACCATCTTTAAATTACGTCTGTTTAACCATTTCCTATCCAAATAGTCCCCTTAAAATTGTAAATAAATATTTCTGTAAATATCGTTATTTTTTATTTTATTTTTTTTTTTTTTTGGTTTTCTTAATCGATTAAACCTAGAACGTAACTTAATTTTTTTTTATATTATGTTTATTTGTTTACTTTCCGATTACTCATATATATCTCTGTGGCTCCAAAGCGCACATTTCTGTTTTTGTACGTTATTCTAGATGTCTTTTCTTTTCTACTTTGGTTTGAGTTTCGTATTTATTATATTACAGGAAAAAAGAATTAAAGCTATTTTTTATGTTAAGCTACTATAACTTTTCTTAAAATAGTTGAAAAAATTTAGAGTTTGTTGAAACCTTATTTCATGTAAAGCCATAAAACTAAAGTGGCTTCTTCTCGATTATTTTGTTTTTGTTATAATTTTTTTGCGAATGGTCCTTTTCTTTTTCCTTGTAAATTTCAGATGATATCAGTTAATCGAACGCATTAACTGTATTAAAGTTATTGCTTGTTAAAATAATTAATATATTTTCAAAATTGTTTTATCGATCTTTAAGTCATCAAAACAATAGTTACTGAAACTTACTTAACTTGTTTATCGAACCTTTCGATATTTGGAATTTCACGTTACATCATGCCTACCCTCCACTTTTCCGTACGGCAGGAAACCTGGTACTTTTCGATCAAACCTCAAGAGAGCTCTTATGATGGAATGAGGTCAAAATGGCCTATCTTTCTTTTCTTGGTTATCTCTCTTTGTAGTTGTATAAGTTCCTCAAAGCTTATGCCACGCTAGTCTGGATACGAGCTTTCATTACCTCAAACTGCAAAAGACAGTACCGTATCAACTCCGGTCGTAGCTATGTAGATCTCAAAAATAACTGAAGTACTTTTGAAGATTACAATCAAAGCAGGCAAATAATGGAAAATAAAATTCAATTGCATCAAAACCATTTCTTCTACACTTTGGGTTATCAAAACAATATTTTAATAAATAACACCAAATGAATTTGCACGCACATGCACTTTTTAAAGTACTAAAACCATTTTGCAGCTCCCAATGAATTTATCGAAATAAACTTTATTTCTTTCCAAGCCTACTACATGCTGACCTTTCCACCTCAGTCTTCCCGACAGTAAAGATAAAAGGCACCTTCCTATTGGTCGGTTCAGGTGAAGGATGTTCACTGTTTTCACATACTTTGCTTCGTAATGGCTTCTCAGGACCTTCACCCCTTTTGTGTCGCTTCCCAACTGGTATCCGTATTGCAGGAAAAAGTGCCAAAGCATTTAAAATGTTTATTTACCTTCCATCTTTTAGTTACCCATCTACCGTCACGAAAACTCATACTCGAGCTTCCACCCTAAGGCAAAAGCGTGGTCTCTGTTTCTTCCAAGTGAACTTATTTTCTACCTAAAATTTATAAACTTGAATTAAATAGTTCATTACATATCAATGATATGATAAGTCGTAATGCATTAGCACTTCATCACATTAAAAAGTTAATTATTTTATAATTGTGTTACACAATTTCATCAAAGCGCATTTCTTAATAATAATAAACAAGTATGAAAATTAAAATAAGTTTTGTTTTCGAAACAATCCTTATGTTTTGATAGTAACATTCCAAAAATACAATTTTTCACAGTATTTTCTCATGTTTCCGTCCTCTAGATATGGAAAAAATTGTATTCCTTACTGTTTTTCTGAATCATGAATTGTTATTACTTGAAAATCCTGGAACAGTTATCTTCTCAATTTCTAAAATTATAATTTCTTTTCGTGATTTTTCCAGAAGATTAGAGTAGCATCGCCTTACCATTTTTTACATAGTTAAGATTTTCCCAACTCTCGATGAAAATTCTAAATGGTCAATTTTACGCCCACTGCCTTCAATTTGATCCAGTAGCTTCATCCATAGAATCGCCTAGCCATAGTAATGTTGAAAAAAATATTGTCATTTTTTTAATTTTTGTTGTAATTTTTGTAATATGTAAGACACGATCGATTCTAATTTCGTTAATCAAAATTAACTTGAATTCTGGAGGAAAAACCTGCTTTATTAGGTAGATTTTGATTGATAGAAAATTGTGTTCATTTATGCCGTTGATGTTTTAAAACCAAAAAAAAAAAAAAATACAAATATTCGCGGTGTACCGCAGATATGTAAGTAACCATGTCAGTTTTGTCGAGTTTAAATTAACATAAGTTATTACAGTTTTACGAAAGCAAAAATGTAGTAAAATATAAACAAAAATAACCTTTAAAATAAAAAAGCCTTTGAATCAATGAACGTTGGTAATATTATAGGAAGTTTAAAGGCTGAACTCAATTTCTCCTTGAGTATGAGTGCTGAGGGGTTTAATATAAAAAAATATATTAATTGAAATATACTGATCTCTGAACTCGGGTAAAGGTAAATAAACTGTTATGTAATATGCTTGCTCTATTGTTATTTATCCGAATATGCGGCTAATCTAGTTTGAGTATTTATTTTATCTTTGGGAAGAGTATTGAATATATATAATAGTATCTAGATAAATAGGAAAGTTTGCGTTTATTCTGTAATTAAAGCCCATCGGTCGAGGAAGATTTTTAAATTGCCCTATAAATTAGACGTTTTCATCTATTAAGACGGTATGTCCAAACATATTAGTATAAAATATGTAATGCACAGCTAAAGATATATCGTAAATCATATATACCACTGTATATGAATTATAATGAAGCTGAATACATTGCACAGCAGAATGTTGGATCCAATTATAAATTTTGTGCCTTGTGATGTGAGTACAGTGTGGAAGATGAAATGCTGATTACCCAGTACACGGCGCTTCTCCTCCAGACAACCAAGAAGACAGCCCTCGTGTCTCCAACATTTGTTCACGGCAGATTAAGGTACATTAATCTTATAATGAATTTTCCACATATTTTAAATAACATAAAGTTAATTTAAATAAATTTTTCATTATTTAAATAGATTAAAAAAATATATTTTTAACTATCAACGAACGTATAACTCAAAAATAATAATAATAATAATAATAAGGATATAAATAGAAAAATACAAACCATATATCTTTGATTCTTTAACATACATATATGGTTTCTTTAACATACATTGATAATGCCTGAACTGACAAAATATTGGCAAATGTTCACATTTATGTTGGAAATTCAGAGAAACGTTCGAAGACGAAACATTAATAAGTGGGGGTGATATTTGCTGTGTGCCTACGTTTCGACCTACTTTGTACCTATTACTGACTAATCACTAGTCTATCGTCCTACGAGGTCACTTGACATACCTGATGAAGATCTAAAAAGTAGGTAGAAATGTTGGCGTAAATATAAATTCCACTTATTAACGTATTTTGAAATCCTTGATCTCACCTTCAACAATTTGCCCTTGAATCAAATTTACGACTAATGACATCCACAAAATGAAGAATCAAGATAATATTTTCAGTTTGGTAATTCAACATTTTTAATTCAATATATCTTGTGATTATTATATTCTATATGTTTTATAGAAATATCACAAAAGCATGACGAAATATAAAGGATTGAACTTTGAAAAAAAAAACTGAAAAAAGAAATGTATATATTTTATATTTTTAATAAGGTCCGGTAAGACTGGAATTTTTATTTTCAATTTTTTTTTGTTTTTCAATTTTTTAGAACTAAAACATTTTTCAAAGGACGTTATCTATAACAGTTTTATTAGAACTTTTACTTTTAAAAAATTTATTTAAAAGTTATGTTAAAAAAAAGTCATTTCGCCTAAAAGTAAATTTAGAAATTGTCATTATTGCCACTACTCAAAAAAAAATAATAATAAATAAAAATTATAAAAATAATAACAAACAAAATCGGACAATTCATTGAAGACAAATTATATCCGTAATTTAATCCACTTACTGCTTATTTCTCATTTATTATCTCTTTTCACTGACGTAAATAATCATAGGCTAACATTTTATTATAAACCCATAATTTTTTTTAAAATGTCTCTTTTTTACACTTATTTTAAAGCCTTTTTTGAAAAAAAATTGCATTCAAAACTCTTGAAACGTTTCTCTAAAAATCACATAAAAGTTCAAGCTCTAAAAACATACAAACTTTTCTACGAAATGTTTGTCATTACAAATACAAAAAATATTTTCTACTTTGAATGTTTCTATAGTCAGGTTAAAAAAATGTTAAAACTTATGATATGTTTGCTTATCTATTCATTAAGAAAATGCTGCGTAATTAAGCACCTTGCATTACCATCATAATAATCCACTAAATTTATTATTTATATATATTTTAAAAATATAATCTTAGAAATATCAATGTTTCTAATGTGGAAGATAGTGAAACAAGCAGGAAATATAAAGATAATGTTATGTCAATTATACCGAAAGAGTTTCGTAGATATCTTTTTATGTTTCGGTCTAAGGCCACCCGAATAGTTTTCGTTTAGCCTTTCAGCTTTGTGTGGGATGGTCCGTCAATTACATGTTTTTTTTTTCTCTAAGTCATTTCCTTGATTCCTCTACCAATTCTTTCATTGCCAGGCGATCATCTTCCATTTTCCACATTTAGTTTAGATCTCGCCTAAAAAGAAATTCACGACAACAATTGATTGATGTGATGTAAAAAAAAAAAATAATGAATAACAGGATATGCTTTAGTTTACGGTAAAGGCCTCTTTTTATGAAATTATAAACGTCTGTCTAATATTTAGTAAATGATTTCATCTTTTCCTAATCTACAATATTTTTATTTATAAATATTCTTGTAAATAGAGCGTTTTCAATCTGGAGGTCTTTGTCTAATGAGGTATAAAAACTCATAACACCTATTTGCTTTCCATTTTAATCGTTAGATAATTTTATCTCATAATCGAGACAAAAAGGAGCCTACAAAAATATTGGACCGTATGCTGTGACCTCTATCCCCAAGAAAAACAAATAAATTATATTTATAAATACATTGGGAGAGAAATAAATAATTTTAATATTTAATGAACAGGCGTTAATTATTTTTAACAATATTTAAAATATGCTCAATGTTAATTATTATATAAAATTTATTATATTTGTATTCTCTTCTCAGTATAAACAATCATAAATAAATGTGTTAATTCCTAACCCTAATTAATTAAAGGGTGTATATTTTTATTTTATACAAGTTAACAATCGCTCTATTAACAATTACTTTATGTTTATTCAAAATGTGGAAGGAAAGGTAGAATTTGTAACAACTAATACTCATAGAGGTTATTGTAAGGTACTCTAATACATCTTTTCTTTTAAGGATATATATTATAAACAGTTCACATTGTTTTCCAAACATTTATGTTATGTTTAAATATTTTCCAAATATTTATTTAGAGAAAAGGCAGAATTTGTTTTCAAAAATATAAAGGAGAAAGACACATTCCTGGGATTTTCCACTAATTTATTATTTTTTCTTCCAAATTTAGTTCCAAAAAAGGTCACATGGTTTGATCAACATGTTCAGGAAGTTAATCTCTGAACCACTAATTAAAAAAAACATCTCAAACAGTACCACTATTTTAAATACTACTTTATTGATTTACAACAAATATATAAGTTTAACAAGCTTGACATTTGTCATCTGCAAAGTTTTGCAAAAATCAATTCTGTGCAGAATACACATATGTAGGGTTTAAATTAGTAAATCTACTGGACAACGCACCAATGCATTATCTAAAAACCGATTCTCTTTAGCTCTTTAAACGCAGGGTCTAGTATAATTTATGTATTGCCTTGTATATAGGTCAGGATGTTCTCGTCAAAATATTCAAAAGACAATATTCAATTCAGAAGAAAATATTCGAATTTATTCCATATGTAGGGAATGTTTTTTTGTTTTTTTTTTTCCTTTTCCTTAGCCGGTTCTATACATTTTTGACAATTTTTAATAGGCTATACTATCATTAATTAATACCTAATTATTTAGGTTATGAAAATTTGAAAATTAACAGTGTAAAATTCATAATTAATATATGAATAGTTCATGAGGATATATGAATATCGTGTTTATTTACTTATCAAATATAGCAAAAATAAAATAAAAAACAGCATTGAGGCCTCCTTTATTACTTCCTAACCGTAGTAAAAGTATAAAAAGAATTCCCACCTATAATCTTTCCCATTTCGATCCGTCTATTTTTGAAACTATCCAATTTTTTCAACGACTTTTATAATAATAGTGGTAAGGTATTAAGTTTTGAAACTGTCCACTTGTCCACGAAATACTGTTTGTTTTGATACCAGATTCATCAAAATCCTTTGCTACAATATAAATATATTGTTAGATAAAATTAAAATCCTGCCGATTTTCTTAATATTCCACTGACAAGAATTTTGTTCCAGGTCATTAGCCGCCATATCCGTTGTTAATATTCCCCCGAGGTCCCTAATCACCGGACTAGTATTGGTATTAATCGGCTCACTAATCATAGGCTCCCATAGGAAGGATGATGTGGGCAGATCTTCCCATTAGCTCGGGTTCGTTCGCCTTGGGCTATGCCCATCAGTCACTGCTCGGTCCTTGCCGATCTTATCCGATTATTCTTCCGTGTTCGTCATATCCTAATATTAGAGTCTACGGATCATGAGCACATTACGTCACTATAATACGACAACTGTATTTGTTCAGCAAATCTATATTATATACCACCGCTCCAATAAAATCTGCACAATAAATAATATGGTAATATATATATATATATATATATATATATATATATATATATATATATATATATATATATATATATATATATATATACCTTTTGCGGTTCTCATAAGCGATGGGTTTTGATGAATGAAGTATGAAACATAAGCGAATTTCATAGAAAATTTTCGAATGCCGATTAAAATCGTAATGATGCTGCAATTCCTTCAAAAATTGGAAAATTTCAAAGTTCAGATAGTTTCAAATTCGATGGTCTTTTAAAAAAAGATTTCGACGCAGAGGATTATACCGGACCCTTTGTCTCAAACCCTAAAATGTACCATTTTCGAAATGTACTGTGATTCTTGTTGCAAGCCTCTTAGGTTTTGTCCCGAAAATTTATCACGTGTTTGAGTTTTAAAAATTAAAATATTGCTTTTTATTGTAACCTTTAACGAACTAAAAATCTATTTACAATGTAAATGGAGTAAAATAGCGCTATGATCCCTAGGGCAATACGGAAAATATATATATATATATATATATATATATATATATATATATATATATAATATATATATATATATATATATATATATATATATATATAATATATATATATATATTATATTAATAAATAAATATCATTCTTGTTATAGCTTCTTTACATTCAGTAATTGACATCTATACTCTTTGTAAGTGAGTAAACAATAAGTGTATATAAGAATAAACATGTTTACCTATTGTAAAGGATTGCTACCTAATATGAGAGATCTCACAATAGTATACTATTGTATTACTACTATAGCTATACTATATTTATACTTTAATGAACTAAATATTCCAGATATATATAAGGTTAGCATAGTATAATATATATTTTTGTGTTATAAAATATATTGACATGTGACCGATTATTATTGTTGACAAGCTTAATGTTGATTTACTCTTTCCAGTATTACTAAATATATATATATATATATATATATATATATATATATATATATATATATATATATATATATATATAGTGTATACATATATATATACACATATATATGTACACACTTATATGTGCGTATGTGTGTGTTCAGAAGTACCATCGTTTTTGCTCCTCTCAGCGTCGGAGCACTATAGAGCTTGCCGTTATAGGAATCAATATTGCAACAGCTTGCACAATAGATAAACAGCCAAATGTTACACACCAAATTTTCACTCAGTTGCATGGACTGTTTAACAGTCAGAGTTTTTGCACATTAATAATATCTGCTGTTTTTCTACTATATTATTTACCATTAATTGTTTTATTAATAATGGTCGTTGAAAATATACAGTATTAGAAGTATCCAATGATAGATCATGGATTAAGGCATTGATGGGTTACACCACAAAGGTTAGAATATCATTCTTTAGCAAAATATCAACTGGTTTTATTTTTATTGGACGTTTTGTTTTATTGTTTCGGTAATTTATGAAACTTAATTTTTTTTTTCATTGTGTGTTATTATACAAGCGATGTTATATATACTTGATGTATTATAATTATTGCAATGGTAATAAGGATCAACATTCCTGAGCATCTTTATATATATATATATATATATATATATATATATATAGAGAGAGAGAGAGAGAGAGAGAGAGAGAGAGAGTGAGAGAGATAGAGAGAGAGAGTATTCATAACGTACTTAGAATTGGCATGTGTGAACCAAAAATAACGGGAGTTAAGACAGCTATTAAATAAACAAAGCCATGTTATAACATAGTGTTGTATGTGTTGCGATCTATATTCTATATATGTTGAATTAATGCTATCTATTCAGTATAGTTATCTAAACGTATATATTTTATCACCAACAATTAGGATTTAAATTGTCCTTCTCAGTTAAATTATAGAAGTTCTCTTGATATTTATTTTCATTTTTTTAATTTAATTTAATAGCCACAGCCGGTGTCCTTGCTAAATAATTAGAGATAGGCTCCAGATCAGCGAAATCTTTTATTTCCTTATAGAAGGAGCTTGGTGCTATTTAAGTTTAAAAATACAAACTACACTTCTCTCCAGGTTCTGATTTTATCTTGGTTAATTAAAACTTGACTGTGTTTCACAAAAAAATAAACTAATTTTGAATGCTGAATTATAGAAGCTATAGGAGTAGGGTAGTTAGTCACAGTAGGTTAGTTAAGGGTACTTTTGTCATTATTAATTTTTTTATTTAGGATAGCTGCTAACATTTACTGTTATCTTAACAAAATCAATTGGTAGATATTGACTGTTTAAACAGATGCAATTGTTTTATGACTATTGTTCTACCAGTAAATTCATTTTCGGATATATTTATTTAACTGCCATCAAGAATGATTCAAAACACTCATTAGAGGTAATTTATTGTTGAATCATGAAGAGTTTTCGGACTTCAATCATATTCCTACCTTATTTTATAAAAATGTTTAAAATAAAATATCTTTCATTTGCGTCTAATAAATTCGTGTAAGTGTGCCTGAATTACAGTTCTTCAAATTTGGAATTCAAATCCATGTCTAAATCACGTGAAAATATGAATGGCTAGTTTCTGAAACAGTGAAAAAAAATTATGAATGTAAATAATACCCTATATTATACTCTACTTAGAACTAAAATGTGTCTAATCCATTAAAATTCGAGTACACTATTTTCAGAAATCAGGACATTGTAAACATTAATTGCTAAAAGGGCCAAAGTCTTGGAGTTGTAAGCCTAAACTCATTAATAATTGAAGGACATTTTTCCTTTTACCGGTTATTGTATAATCGTCCCTAATTTCTTGAGTGCATTTTACCCAAATTTCAAAATTGGCTCTTTATGTCCATTGATTGAGACATAGTTTTTAATGTTTCATGTAATGCGTTAGAGAATAATATTATTGTTTTCGCTATTTCATGTGTAATTGCACGGTTTGAAATTATCTTCTCTTCATTTTCGTTTTGGGCAAAATAGGTTGGTTACACACTTATGGCGAATTAAACATTATATAATTTATTTAAATTTTTTTTTTATTTATTTAGATATATAATATTCTGTCTCGTGGACAATAATTATAGTGATAAATGAACACATTCACACCATATATACAGAAAATATAAAATGAACAAAAGTAAAATAATGACTAAATAATAAATAAAAACTATGTACAATAAAAAAATAAAATAACCTAAAGATAAGTAAATTAAAAACATAAAAACACAGTCATACCTATATACAGTATATTCAATTTGAAAATTTTAAAGTTAAATTATTGATATAAGTTTGTATTTACTGTTAGTAGAAAGTGGTGATCTAATCAAATTAAATCAACCGAATTTAACAAAGCGGTACGTTATTACGTATTTGTTTTTAAAAAATACTATCGCAGACAGCTTACTCTTGATAGGTGTGCTGGAAATAGAATTGATAATTACTTTTTCATAAAACAAATCATTTTTAGTTAGAAAAAATCAGAAGAAAAACTAGGTGTGCTTACAATCCATAAGAAAATGGTTGATGAGGTTTTACAAGACTTTCGTAACTAGCATGTTCCTGATTGCATTGTTTTACATAATTTACTTTTAAACATTTTCTTCTTTATTCTCAGATATGGATTATTATATTTTCTAAAACAGTCTATCTTTGTTTCGTAAATGTTATATACAAAACTACATTGTACGTTGGTATTATTCACAACCATCGTAACCTACGAGTATTTTATTTACAAAAATTTTAGGAATTGGAGCGTTTTCAATCAGGTCAGCAAACTTCGTCTATTTATTTAGATGCTAAAACAAAATACCCATTTTCTTTCCACTTTAATCGTAAGATAACTTGAGTACAAAATCGAGAAAAAAAGTGGCCTTCAAAAATATTGAGCCGTTTGACCTTATTATATAATTATATATTTTGATAATTTGGAAGTGTAAGTCACGCAAAAGGAATGAATATTTTTTAAGCCCACCTTTTTCTTGACTTTGTGCTCAAGTTATGTTACGATTAAAGTGGAAAACAAATGTTTCCATTTCATCAAATGATATTTACGAATTTTTAGTACCTAATTAAACAGACAAAGTTTGGCGACCTCCATATTGAAAACGCCCCAATTCCGAGAATTTTCATAAATAAAATATTTGTAGGTTACGATGAGATGAAGATATTTAGGAAGTTTCAGTTGGATGTTAATAATTTGATAAAAATGCTTCAGTACCACGAATTATCATTACCCACATAAGCTTTATCAGGTTACAATACGTCTTATGCAAAAACGGACATTGAATAACTATCAATAAATCCGAAAATAAACTCAATTCTTAGTAGGATTATTTGTCCTTAAATTGATCGTGAAATAAGAAAATAAAGTGTCTCGAACGTTTTAAGAAATTAAATAAAGTTGTTAGAAATAGAATTGTGAAAGTATCTGAAGTGTTTCTGATATATGTATATGTTTATGATAAGTGCATTCTGTTTTATATATATATATATATATATATATATATATATATATATACATATATATATACACACATACATACAGAGGCGGTCTATTGCGTATAAAACTCTCCCTCGAGTGGACAAGTTTGACTGAAATCGATAACCATGTCACGGACTGTTGGAGCGGAAGAGTTCCAGTCTTTTGGAAAAAGCTTTCGATAGACTATTTATATCACGTGTCGAGAATTTAAAAAAATAATATATGCATTGAAACTTCAGGATTTAGGAACTCTTTATTTTGTATGGTCAGTCGAGAACGTTTCAAATCATTTATGGAACCAAACGGTTTATAATATTCCATACACTGAAAACTTTACCTATTAAATTAGCGTTGACTATGATTTTTATAATTAACTAAATGGTAATTATGTTAATTGTTTTAGGACCATTACAGATTATAATTGTAATAATATCAATTCGAATACTCAGTTTATTTAATTCTTACTCCTTTTCGTACATTAATTAATAATTTATAATATTATCTGATAGGTATTTATTAATAAAACATCACATTAAATGGTCATCGAAATGTTATTGTAAGTGTTACCTTCGAAAACTATCTTTTTTTTGTTTATATAACATTTTCTTATTTCATTTTTATATGTGGTTGTAACTTTCAATAAAATAAGTTATAATTTAATTATTGAAAATGTTTCCTTGACCTTTAACATACAAGCCTTTGTAATTAACTCCAATTTCAACATTATTGATTATTAATTTTACTGATATTTCTAGTGCAATCACCGACTCTGGAATCAACTTACTCACTGTCTGTATAAATTATTATAAATTTTGCAGCTATAAACATCACATTACTCAAATGACTTTGCTCAAAAATGTTAAAATTATAGTTTGCCATTCTGTCAACTAAAAGGCTTATATTATATACATTGCATACGATTTTTTAAAATAAATTGTAGATTTAGAGCGTTTTGTCAGTGAATGTTTTAGTAATTTGAATCTATGAGTTTCTTCTCAATTTTGTTTTCAATGTGTACTCCATTCAGGACACGAAGGTAGCGTATCTGTTTTACATGGATAATTGGAACATCATCAAAAGACGTAAAATTCAAATTACATGTTGTTTACATGGTCATGTTCCTGTGTTGTGAATATCATGAATAAATATTTTTTTTAAAAATTAGAAAATGTTACCATGAAAATATATTAAAATATAAGATTGGAAGTGATCCATTCAGTAATCTTTTATGTGCACTCATTAATTCGGTATGACATTTAGATAAACATTTTTATAATACATTGGGGTTTATATTTGGATTGCCTTTAAAGAAAAAACATTACATTTAATAAATGGGGCAAAGCCTGATCCTCATCTGGTTAAATAAAAATCTTAGCTATACTTTTCAATGTTCTCCAGATGTTTCCTCTTAATTATTTGGTAAAACTTCTCCATCCGGCTTCCTCAGAGGTCAGACACATTCCAGTTAAAAATACTTCCCCTGGTACTGCCTCCTTGGGTGTCTCCAGCGATTCCAAAGATCTGAAATAGTTCAGAATGTTTACATAGTTGGAGAAAGTACAGCTGGACCGTTTCGTAAGAGATCTCTTGGTCCTTTAAGTTCTTAAAGAAGTTAAATTTCTGTTTCATCATCTGTTATGTATACATTTATCAATCAATGTGTCTGTTGAAGAAACGTATCTATATTAAAAAAAAAAAATTAGAATCTATTCTTTAAATTTTGTATCCTTCATATTTCTTAAGTGATTGCGCTGGAGAAGGTGATAAGAACAACATCACATGAAAATGGAGGAGTGGACGTCAGAATGAATCATAAAATCTTTAGTTACGCAGATGATATAGCTATCCTTGGACGTAACCAAGATGACATTGAGAAACTGATGAGAGGATCAGAGCAAATAGGCCTACAAGTGAATGAAGATAAAACTAAATATATGATAATAAGGCGAGAATTATTCCTCAATTACAGGGTCGTTCCAGAGTATGTTCAAATTCAATTAGCTCGACTCCACAGTAACCTCAATGAATGACCAACGGTCGTGAATAGAATAGCGTATAACAGGTGCAAACAGAGCTTACTTCTTTCTTTCAATTGAAATTCCTAAAAACTTCAATAACTCTCAAATTAACAGTGTACAATGCTATGATAAAGCTAGTTCTCATATACAACTGCGACATCTGGTCACAAATCCTAGAAAGACCAGATATTATTCAAAGATTTGATTGAAAAATTCTCCGTACGATGACCGAAGCAATCTGGGATAAGATTACTAACAAATGGACCATAAAGAACCATATAGAGAAAGACCAATAAAGAGCTGTTTATAGAAACATGTCAATCGATTTCTCGTGATATGAAGTCAAGGAGATTAGAATAAGGAATCCATCTAGAAGCTTCTTCACAAAAATGAATGTCTCAATAGTAGCCAAAAGATCACGTGGAAGAGCCAACAAGCAGATGGATAGGTCAAATCTGCAAAGATGCAATAGAGTTACATGCAGATAACAGGAAAAAAGTAAACAAAGTATCAAGTATTAACAAAGTCTGAAATGCAAACAGAAAAAGTTATGTGATTTTTTCTTTGAAAATGAAAAAACTAGCAACAATATATTTTTTAATAAATGAAACTTTTGTTTATTTTTATTTAATAGTTTTAATGGCCGATCAAGCCGATACTCTTACTAGCAGCTGACCGGCTAATAGTCATTGCTCATGACAGATGTGGGTGAAGAAATGGAGTTAAATAATTTTTTTTTATTTTGATAATTTATTTTTTTATTTAAATATTTATATAGACTTTATTTCTTTATTTTGAAGATTTATTTTTTGATAAGAACTTTCTCAATTCGTTGTTTTCGAGATGATTTTCTAAGTTCATGTATTTAAAATGTAGATTAATGTTTCTCAAATTTTTTCATGTTGTTTCATTTTTATAATTCTAATATTTGAAAAAAAATATAGATTTTATTTTATTTTAAACTCAGTTACTAGCGGACCCAGGATTTAATTTTTGAAGGGAGGCTTCAGCCCGAAAGCTTTTTTTGTCATATATTTAACGATAATTACTATTAAAAAAAAGATCTATATGAAATGGTGTTAAAGTGATTCTTGACGTCCTATTAATGTAATTACACAAACAATAATACTTTAAGAGATTTTTTTTTTTCATAAAAGAAAGTCCCCTCTCCTCCACCCGTAGATCCGCCTGTGAACTCAGTTACCATTTTATATTCTTACATGAGCTTATTCTTTAAACTCACACATTTTTTAAATAACATTTTAACAATAGGATGGAAAGTCATTTTTTTCTTTTCCATCTAGCTATACATCTACATATTTATGAATATATGTATACACGTGTATACGCGCTTATTCCTAATGATCTGCATATCAAACGCGGAACAGAATAAGGTATGTCAATAAAACTCTTTGAATCTGACAGAGAATATGGCGTCCTTGGTTGCTCCCTACACGGTAGTCATTTATTCCTCCACATTCCTGCCTCTATAGCTAATAGTGTATATATTAAATAAATCATCTATCCAGTTTATTCAAATTGTTTTTAATTTATATATAATGACTACCTTTAGCAATATAATTAAATATGCACTTCTATAATTAGTATTAATGAACTCAACGTCCAGTTGAACAGTTACGTTAAATACTACCCCGTTTCTTTCTTCAGTTTGTTTACCTTCAATATAACTATTTACGCATTATTTTTTAACTCATGATTTTCTTGACATTTGGAATAGAAAGGAATTAAGAAAAAAAATATTATTTAAAAAAAAAAATTAGTTGTCTCAAGACCACACGATAGAAGTGAAAACAGCAACAAGGCGAGATTAATAATATGAAATATAAGTTATAAATAATAGCTCATTATAAAAAGGGTCTAATGCTGAACATTTCCTTTGCTTACAGTATACAGGTCCGATGTTTAGCTTTCTGAGATATTTTAATCCTTATCTTCCATAAAATCCTTTAATTTGGATATTCGATTCTATCGTATCCCAGTATGTTTCATGTATTTTTATTATATCTTTCCATTTGATATTGGTAAATAAATTTTCTATATCAAAACAGATCAAACAATATTTACTTATTGTCTATTATTTATTCGTTCAAGTATTTGATCCACCTTCATTGGGTTTTTTACATCATTGTTACTATCTGATTTTAGGTGATTGAGTGGGGAATTGAGAAATTTAGCCAAATTTTTCACTTTCCCCATTGACATTACTGATGATAGAACATATTAGAGCGCCACTTTTATGTAACTTTACTAATCCATGTATTCTAGGAATATTATAATAATAATACTTTATTTATTCTGGGACGAGTCCCTATAGAATAATACAGAAAGACATAAATAATAATAGTCATAATTATAGTCATAATAATAATAGACATAATTATAGTCAGAGCTAATTAGTTTAATAAGAAATTTTTAAAATAATAACAAAGTTCTATTGCATAAAGTATAGACATAAAAGCAAGGTCAATCTAAAAATGTCTTGAATGACTTATAATTTACTTATTTAAATTAGTGATAATTAATAGTTAAGATGTATCCAATAACTGTATAATATTTATGGAGAAATATCCAGTTGGAAGGTTATATAATGTTATATTATATATTTTCCATTATGCCTAAAAATTTCTGCTATCATTATCATTTATATTATTTCTCTTCTTATTTTTTATATAAAGCTCATAATGTTGTCAAAATTCAATGTTGTAATAATATTAGCATTTGTACTATATATTATCATTTGGTTTTGGGACACTATCTTTTGCCGTCTCCTACTCCCTAACACGATGTTGCGTCAAGATACAATTTTGAATTATAGCTTATTACAGAGAGGATGAAATGCTGATTAATTTACTCGCATACAGTATGCAGGCCCGATTTTTAGTTTCTATAATATTTTAAACCATATGTAAAAACATTTCAATTAGTCGACTATAGCCGACTTTACCCGAACGTTAAAATCTGACGGATCAATCTATCTCGCTCTCCACAAAAAAAGTGAAAAACGGGCCTAAAGAAGTTTAAACTTTAAAAAAAGTAAATAATATTGATAAAATAAATCTATTAAGTATGTTCTGTTGAAACCATAGTTTGAACTACGTCTTTTTACATTTTTGTTATATTGTCAACATATCATCGGCTTAAGTTTCATTACTATAACATGGTGCCGACAATATTATATATCACAGATATCGTTGCAAAGCCTGTTGCTAAAATACTGATGTTATCTTATAATTTCAGTTATATCCTTAACATTTCCAAATAAAATTTAGATGTTTGATATCTCCTGTTTTGGTTGTTATAGAATGTATGTATACGAAATTAAACCGTTTTAGGTCTAAATTCATTTTTCTGTTGTAAATTGTAAGATGATGGGATTTCTATTAGAGAAAAAAATATATTTTTTCTATGGGCATTGATTGAATATTAAATGGAGTCAAGTCCATAAACGAAACTAAGTAAATGTGATATTTAGATGTTAAATCATTTTTATGCCAACAGAAAAAATAACTTTTTCTTTAAATAATAAACGAATTTAATGTAAGAGTTTAAAATTCAAATAATTCAGCTTAAAAGCTAAATGAAAAGAATCATTAAATTCGGCTCCATTAATAAAAATAAAAATGATATATTGATGATTTGAGATTAAAATAAAAAGAAATGGTGGTGTCCCGTAAGTTAAGGGAAATATATAATTAGGTGATAGAAGACCTAAATAGCTACAAGTCTGGTTTTCATTGAAAAATTGGATACTCAGTTTGTGTTTTTTGTTTAATATGTTAGGGTTTTGCTATTCGAATAAGGAGCTATGACAAAAAACTTGTAATTAAGTAATTGAAAATTGCTTCACAGTAAACTAGACATAATTTACTTTTGACAAATGTAGAAATTTTCATAGGTAAAACCATTTAAAAATGATTTTTGAGCGTCCAAACTAAGCTAAATTCTGTTGTTTTTCAAAAATCATGAATTATTCACGAGTTTTTTTTATCACTCTCCAACTGTATTACTAATAAAATATAAGCCATATTAATTATGTTGAGGGTTTTTTCACAAAATAGGTTGAGATTCATCTATTATAATTAGATAAAAATGTTGTAAAAAAATGATGAAAAAAAATGATGTAATTTGATAATCTGGCACCTAAATGTATCCGTTTTTTCAGCAAAAACACTATAATAAATTATTGCAAAGCTTAAGTTCCTTTTTTTCATTACCATGGATGTATTAAAATAAAGGTAATAGCATAAATACACTTTTTATTTATAAAATAATAAATTCTATTAATAACGATTTTTCAAATATCTATCATCTAAAGTGATTATGGAACTGCGTTTTTTATTCATAACTCTATCATGAGAATTGTTTTGTATTTATAAATGACCAAATATTATTTTAATATTTACGTTTTAATGGAAATGGTTCAAACGATTAGCAGATTTATTTTTGTTTGAACATTTATCTGCAATAAATTTTTATGAAAAT